AACACAGTGGGGAATAGATTGTGACGTAAGTCTTTGGAAAATATATAAAAAGCGGAACGGATTGGGAACATTAAATACACCTGCTCCACTCATTTAATATTTCTGACTACTTTACAGGAAACGTTGGAAAGAAGTTTTCATAAAGCATAAGCGGTGCAGCAATCAAGCAAGAGAAAACGTGCGCATCAGGGAATAAACGGTTCCTATTGGCTAAAGAGGAAAGCGAGGCATGTGGATGATCAGAAGGAAAGACAAATCTCAACAATAACTGTCTCATCTAGCCACTTGCGCCCCTTAAAGCACTGTTCACACCGCCCCTTTCATGCAGTCAAGAAAACAACTCCAAGGGAATTACTCACTTTGCCATTCATTCTTCTGCCTATAAATAGGACGTTCTATCACGAAGAACACATCGAATTCCTTAAGAAGAGATCACTTAGTTTATGTTGTAGTTTTTCTTTTGTATAGTTTTAGCTGTAGTTAAGTGACAACACTTCTTCTCTATTCTGTATCACCCACTTGAGACTCCTCATGAACAACAACCATATTCTCCACTTTCTATTTTGTGTAACCTAAGTTATTTCCATTTAAATATAAGTGTTATTTCTCTCCTTTCCACTCATTATCTTTGAACTGAATCTCGGGTCTATGGGATTTCAGTTCAGAATAATTATGTTTAAAGTAGTAGCCATAGGCTAAACTATCTGTGGAACGGAAAAACTGCAAAGTTCTTAAAGACTTATTTTCAAAACTTTTGTACTGAGCTTTTGTATTTCTCTGGTTAAGTAAGCTATATTCATTGTGTATCAATGGAAATTGAACACATACTGAGAAAGGAACTTCCATAAGGAAGGGATTTCAGACAGCTCAACCAGAGGGGGAAGGTAGTGTTGTGGAAACAACACTGCTGGTTGCCTTAGGAATAAGGGATCACCTCATTCATTTTAAGGTTCTGTGCTAAGTAACTGTTGGAGTCAAGGGAGCCATAAGAATATGAAAACTTGTGAGCCATTTAGTCCATAAGCTGAGGAATCAGACGTTGGCAGTGAAGAGTCTAGAACAAAGACAAAAGTGTTAAGTCTTGAGTAGAGATAATAACTATTTAAGAATGGAACAATGGATCCGTTCATTCTGTTAAAATTGTTTTACACCATCCATACTGTTGTCTCTTAATTACTGTTATTACTATTGTTATTTTTCTTTTATTTATTCAATCTTGTATCTGTAAATCTCCCATGAATATTGCTTTTCCTTCTCTCAACAAGAAAGGTATCATACATAACGAAGCGATTAACTGTTTGCTGTCAGATTGAACCTACTATCCTTGAGGAACATTGTCAAGATAGTTTAAGGCATTAATTAGAGTTCTATCCTCGTGAGAACGATAATCTGGGCACTAATAGTTCCTTTATTACTTGATGCGTGCACTTGCGCACTTGGGTTGAAAGTAAGAGAACATAAGTGTTTTCTCTTACTGAACTAGAACGTTCTCCATCATAATATATTTTTCACCCAACAGCTTTTGACCCAACAATGCATTTCCCAAGTCGGATGATTTTCATCTCCCTCAGCAAAGTTAGCAACTAGAGAAGCATGAGCAGCAAACTTTGATGGAAGACGGGGAGAATTTAAAGCAACTGACCTCACAGGTAATGGAACATCCTCCGATCCGGTAAATTCCACATACAACTCGAGAAAATCTTTCCTTGACTGGTTGAAAAATTCTTCCATTATCATCTCCACGTCTTCATCCTCAACCACTTGCAAACTAATGTATTGTTCAGATTGCCATAACCTTATGGTGATCTGAGATATACATTGGTTACCTTGAAGGCTTAACTTCTGACGAATTCTCTGATGCAGTTCGTCAATGGTTGCGTTACGTTTGATACGTGTCGGCCTTTTTACACCTTCAAACATGACACCTTGTCGACCTTCTACCTTCCTACCATTGTAATATAACACAACACGAACAGAATCAGAATGTGAAGTCATTTTTAAATGGAATAAGAAATAAAATAAAAGTACTAAATTAAAGATAACAATTGTGTATGTCAGGTGTAAGAATGATGGTAGAGAAGTGATGTGAAGAATGCATAGAGTGGTTGGGGATTATATAGAGATTTTTGGCCCATTCACGCCCAGGGGGCGTCATGGCCGCATGTGTCACACCCAAAATGGGTGTCACATGTGACACCCCATTTAGACGTCACCCATATGGGTGTCACACTTAAATAGGTCGTCACATGTGACGCCCATTTTTGGCGTGACATTGTGCAACAGATCCGTAATTTTTTCAAAAACTGTTATAAATGCGTAATTATTTTATTAAAAAATATTAAATTAATTTTTTTGCCCACAAATTATATTTGAATATTGAGTGCACCATTCACCCAATATCGAAATATGATTTTCGCGTGTAAAAATTTTATTTGAATGACGCACGCGAAAAGAATGATTAAAAATATTAAGAAAAACAATTATTTCAACTTTCTAAGTGGATCCTCTCTTTTTTAAGCTGGAGGCTGCTTATAATCATAAGTTAGGCCAAATAGATTTTGAGAAAAAATTTTATAACAAAAAACTCTTTTTTTATAATGAAGAAAAAACTGAAAGTTAAAAGCTCCTAGGAGGAGCTTATTTTTAAGCTCTTATATGTTTTTTCTTGAATTGTGTGCTTTTTTTAAAATGAAGAGTTATAAAGACATAGATGGGTGTAATTACCAAATAACTTTTAACTTTTTTTAAGCTCTTAATTTTAGCTTTAGAGGGGTGTATTGGATTGAGATTTCAAAGGATTTTAATAGATTATTTTTGGACAAAAAAATTCGTTGGTATTCTATTAGGATTTTAATGGATTAAAAAAAGTCATGTGGTATTCGATTAGGATTTTCAAGGATTATTTTAGAATCCGTCCAAATCCGTTGGTATTCAATCACAATCTCGTGGTATTCAAAAATCGGACGATTTTAATGTATTTTCTATTGGTGTGGATTTCGTGAGACTTTTTAGTGAAAAATATAAATAGGATGTCTCTCTCACAATCTCACTCTAACCCCTAGGATTTCTTGAGATTCTTTTATTGCAGTGTTTTCTTCTTCCTTTGGCAGGTTGACTGCTCGAAATTGGGTTCTGCCATGGGAGCTTCGTAAAAAAAAAAAAGAGATCATATTTGTGAGCGATTTTCATCACAGAACAAACTGAAAATAACAAATCAACGAGATTTTAATATAATCTATCTGAAAATAACATATTTTTGGGCCATTTTTTGAGAAATTTTGAAAGTTTAAAAAGTAATTTTTTTCATGCTGTGGGTCGCGGTTTTTCTTGGCACAAAAATGTGTGATTTTTGTATTAAAAACAACATAAAATAGTGAAACAATAACAGAGAAACTAAAACCCTCAAACCAATTTTCGTTTTACATCAATGAAACAATATCAATTTAAAGAGAGATTGAAACTTTCATAATATGAACCCTATATTTTGTAACAATACATTCATGAACGAAATTCCTTCATTATAGAAAATGATTTCAAATAATTTTTGTGTCAATAGATAACTAAAAGCTTGTTTCTCAAAAGCCCCAAAGCAATTTGCGATTTCAATGTATCGATTGAAATTTTTTTCTAAACTTTTGTATAATTAAACCCAAAATTTCAGATTCAAAATTTTCTTAGAATATTCAATGAAAATATGCATATGATATATGGTTAGAAAACTCTCATCACGTAAAACAAAAACCCGAAGATTTTCAAGATCTATTGCAAAAAATTTCAAACGAAATTTCATCATGAACTTTTGGTTCTATATGGAAATTCAGAATTATTTTTAAAATTAAAAAAAATTGGATCTTATAATCATATATGCATAGCTTTGATACCAAATGAAAAATATAATTTTCAACCCATTAGATATGTGAAAAGCTGTTATTTAGTAATTTTGAATGTTTGTTAAAAATTATATTATGTTTTACTGATTGAGAAAATTATATTAGGTTTTACTTTTTTTTATTAATTACATTGCATTTCTTTGTTATTTTTTTATGGGGAATATTATAGTTACAACCTATTTTTGTTTACAACCATATCTTAACCGTTGATTTCCATCAATCATCGGTTATTATTTTCGTCAATCAAACTCATTAATTAATATTTAATTTGCAATGAATGATAATCGTTGATTGACAAAAATCAATTGTTAAGATATGATTGTAAACTGTTGTAAACAAAAATAAGTTGTAAGTATAACCTTTCCCTTTTTTATTGACTCATGTAATTTTGAATATTTGTTAAAAATACATATGATTTTCTAAAATCTTATAAATCCATATCGTCCTTTCAAATCTTATAAATTCTTTTAAAATTCAATCTTATGAAATCTTGATTGTAAAAAAAGTCTTTTAAATTTTTTTTTTAAAGTTTTTCCAATTCTAAATAGTCTTTTAAAATATATAAGATTTTTTTAGCTCAAAAAGAGTCTTTTAAAATTCTAATTCAATACACCTTCCTTAATTTATAAGTAGCTTCTGGTTAAAAAAAAGAAAGAAAAGATTCAAATAGGCTGAAAAATATGATAAATATAACCGTTGCAAAATTATTAGAGTAAATACCCTTTTTGGTCCTCAACAAATTTTACGATACCTGTTTTAGTCCTTAGCAAATAAAAAGGCCCATCGTGGTCCCTACAAAATTTAAAATGAACTCATTTTAGTCCTTTTAAGGACTAATATAAGTCTTTTTTGAATTTGTTAGGGACCACGATTTCAACTAAATGAGTCCATTTTGAATTTTCTAGGAATCATAATGGGCCTTTTTATTTGCTAGGAACTAAAACGGACATTGTAAAATTTACTTAGAACTAAAAATGGTATTTACTCAAATTATTAAGGTAGAAAATTATTAACGTAGACTGAAAAAACACAACAAGCCTCACAATTCTCGAAAACGACATGCCTAACACACTAAACCACCAAAAAACCCTAATTGTTCCAAAAACCAATTAGAGGTTAGAGGGAGAGGGGTTTTCTTTGCACCCTTCAAAATCGGAAGCTTCTACCTTTATTACAAATTCTTCTTCTTCTTCCATATACAATTCAAACCCTTCCCACCGCAGTTTCGATGTAACATCGTATAAATTCTAAGCACAGCCAACTCTGCGAGAAGAAGATACACAGTGATATTTGATTTCGAGTTTCTGGGTTCCGTAAAATATGGAAGCTCGTGTGGGGATGGTTGTCGAAGGGGGACAGAGAGCCCTTAACACCGCCCAAGGGGCCACCGTTGATGGCGGCGGCGCCGCCACCACCACCACCACCAAATTATTGTCGCAAAACAGCCAGCACCAGCACCAGCTTGGAACAGTGCATCAGCTTCTCGCTGGTGGCATCGCCGGTGCTTTTAGCAAGACTTGCACCGCACCCCTTGCGCGCCTCACTATTCTTTTTCAGGTTCTTTATTTTTTTTTAATTATTTTTATTTTTGTTTTGAATTTGTTTGAATTATTGTTTATTTGGTATGTGATGTGGGGAATGAGGTTTCTGAATTTCGGCTGAATTGGACTGATGGATTTTGGTTTCTGGGTTTAGTTGTTTCTTTTTTTAAATTATTATTGGCTTTAACTTTAACGTTTCTAAAGTGAACGTAGATAAATTATTTACATTCGCTCTCAAAACGACGTCGTTTTGAGTTGAAAAATTAAAAAGTATAATAAAAATACTATTATAACCTTGAAATAAATTATAATTACAAAAATACCTTGATTTCTGCCCGTCGTCGTTTTGGGCTCAATGTAGATAAGTTATCTACATTGACTCTGTAGGAAAAACGAACCCATTATTATTATTATTATTATTATTATTATTTGATTTGATTTGATTTATTTTTTTTGTTTTTGGATTTTCGTTTGACTAGGATGAGTGATAGGAATGTGGTTTTTGAGGTAGTTGGTTTTGGTCTCTGGTTTAGTTGGTTTGGTGTAATGAACCTTGTACCTGGGTGTTTAGTTGTTTTGGTCCTTTTGGAGCCAATATTGGTTTTGAATGCATTTTTCTTGAGGCAACAAAAGCCGAGCTAATGATAGCTCCAATTAATGGCTCTGCCAGTTTATATATAAGCTCTGTGTATGAGGTGTGGGTTGCAAGTGTGAAACTTCAATTCAGCTATACATATATATATATATATGAAAAAAATGTTTCTGCTGAAAAAGTTTTTTCTACCACACACGTAAAAGTGAGTGAGTTCCCCTAATCTTTTCTCGCTCTTCTCTTTTTGTGGGACCCATTCACTTTTATGTAAGTATGACAGAATTTTTTTTTATGCGGTAAAAGAAGTGTATATATATATATATATATATATATATTATTGACCATTGATCCTATTTATATCTGTTGAGAATATAGTCCCACATTGGTTGTATGGGCAACTAATGTGAGGTTTATAAGGCCTTGGGCTTTCCCACCCTTTGAGCTAGCTTTTGGGGTGGTGTATCCCAAGGTTCTTTACATGGTATCAGAGCGTTAGAAATCTCACCGCCTCCCACTTTCTTTGTAGTAGAATTTCCACATGTAGATGGCTTGTATGTTGTCCACCCTTCAAGCCCAGTGGGCTCTCGTGTGAGGGGGCGTGTTGAGAAATATAGTCCCACATTGGTTGTATGGGCAACTAATGCGAGGTTTATAAGGCCTTGGGCACTCCCACCCTTTGAGGTAGCTTTTGGGGTGGTGTATCCCAAGGTTCTTTACATTGTTGAGATATATAGTCCCACATTGGTTGTATGAGCAACTAATGTGGAGTTTATAAGGCCTTGGACACTCCCACCCTTTGAGCTAGCTTTTTTGGGTGATGACTTCAAGGTTCTTTACATGGTATCAGAGCGTTCGAAATCTCACCGCCTCCCACTTTCTTTGTAGTAGAATTTCCACATGTAGGTGGGCTTGTATGTTGTCCACCCTTCAAGCCCAGTGGGCTCTCGTGTGAGGGAGCGTGTTGAGAAATATAGTCCTACATTGGTTGTATGGGCAACTAATGTGAGGTTTATAAGGCCTTGGGCACTCCCACCTTTTGAGCTAGCTTTTGGGGTGGTGTATCCCAAGGTTCTTTACATTGTTGAGATATATAGTCCCACATTGGTTGTATGAGCAACTAATGTGGAGTTTATAAGGCCATGGACACTCCCACCCTTTGAGCTAGCTTTTGGGGTGGTGACCTCAAGGTTCTTAACATGGTATCAGAGCGTTCGAAATTTCACCGCCTCCCACTTTTTTTGTAGTGGAATTTCCACATGTAGGTGGGCTTGTATGTTGTCCACCCTTCAAGCCCAGTGGGCTCTCGTGTGAGGGGGTGTGTTGAGAAATATAGTCCCACATTGGTTGTATGGGCAACTAATGTGAGGTTTATAAGGCCTTGGGCACTCCCACCCTTTGAGCTAGCTTTTGGGGTGGTGTATCCCAAGGTTCTTTACATGGTATCAGAGCCTCGCCTATAGTCCCATATTGATTGTGTGGGCAACTAATGTTGCCTTTATAAGGCCTTGAGCACTCTCACCCTTTGAGCTAGCTTTTGAGATGGTGTAACCCAAGGTTCTTTACATGTAAAGAACCTTGGGATACACCACCCCAAAAGCTAGCTCAAAGGGTGGGAGTGCTCAAGGCCTTATAAACTCCAAGACGAGGATCGAACCCGGGACACGAGGCTCTGATACCATGTAAAGAACCTTGGGATATTCAACCAATGTGGGACTATACATCTCAACACGCCCCCTCACACAAGAGCCCATTGGGCTTGAAGAGTGGATGATGCAACAGGCCCAGTCTACCTGTGCTAAGAAACTCCACAAGAGAAAGTGGGGGGCGGCGAGGTTTTGAACGCTCTGATACCATGTAAAAAACCTTGGGATATATAGTCCCACATTGGTTGTATGAGCAACTAAGGTGGAGTTTATAAGATCTTGGGCACTCCCACCCTTTGAGCTAGCTTTTGGGGTTGTGTATCCCAAGGTTCTTTACATGGTATTATAGCCTCGCCGCTCCCTACTTTCTCTTGTGAAATTTCTTAGCACAGGTAGGCTGGGCCTGTTGCATCATCCACTCTTCAAGTCCAATGGGCTCTCGTGTGAGGGGGCGTGTTGAGTTATATAGTCCCACATTGGTTGTATGAGCAATTAATGTGGAGTTTATAAGACTTTGGGCTCTCCCATCCTTTGAGCTAGCTTTTGGGGTGGTGACCTCAAGGTTCTTAACAATATCTAACAGTCTTAATATATTAGTTATGTGAGTGCCACTGGTAGTCATTATTGCAAAGATCTAGATTCTGTAATTTTCTTTAATTACATATGATTTCAAAATGTAAGTTGATTGATATTGTATATATCCATCGTTTCTCTTCTTGATTAAAATAAAATGCATTTCTTTTAACTGGTCTGTATCGGACTGTTCTATGTCTCTTGACTTTAACAGGTGCAAGGAATGCATTCTGATGTGGCAACATTGAGCAAGCCAAGCATTTGGTTTGAGGCTTCACGTATTGTGAAAGAAGAAGGATTTAGAGCATTTTGGAAAGGCAATTTGGTGACTATTGCTCACCGTCTCCCATATTCTGCCGTCAGCTTCTATGCCTTTGAACGCTATAAGAATGTAATATCTGATGTTCTTTCTATAATGTAAGTGGTTCAGAAGTTGTGGCATGTATTCTTATAGCTTAAATTAATTTCATCTTCTCTTTATTGTGTTGCAGCTGTTACATTCACTGGTGGGGGAGAATTCTAGAGGTAATGCAACTGCAGACCTCTTTGTGCACTTTGTGGGTGGTGGTTTGGCAGGTATAACAGCTGCTTCTGCCACATATCCTTTGGATCTTGTGAGAACACGACTTGCGGCACAGGTAATTAGCAATTTTTGTGAGTTGAGAATTGTTGGAGACTCTTTTCAAGCCCTGAGTTGTTTCCATGAATGACTTAGATATATTTTGCATGATCTCTATTGTTTGATTGAATCGGATCCCATTCATCATGATTTTCTGTTAACTCTCTTACCTTGAGTGCTGATAGTCTCTTTTACCTAGAGTGTTGAGACTCTTATATTATATTCCTTCGCAGAGAAGTACCATATACTACAGGGGTATCTCACATGCTTTCAGTACCATCTGTAGAGAAGAAGGTTTCTTGGGTCTGTATAAGGGACTTGGAGCGACATTGTTGGTATGCTCATGATGCATTTTCACTTGTTGGCTTCTTTATGTTGATCGTGCTATATTTTTATAATTGACATAACTAATTATTTTGTGTGATGCAGGGCGTTGGGCCCAGTATAGCTATAAGTTTTTCAGTTTATGAATCATTACGTTCTTCATGGCAGTCAAAAAGGTGAATTTCTAAAATTGCAGGGAATTAGGAGTATTTGTGCTGAAGATATCTTATGGTCTGTGCATATGATTTTGTAAATATTAATTTTCTGTTTCTTTTGAATATAGGCCTGATGATCCTACTGCCATGGTTAGTCTTGCCTGTGGCAGTCTTTCAGGAATTGCATCATCAACAGGTGAGTGCTTGTTGATAGTGGTTATCTCTAATCTGAGTATGAATTTCTCAAGTTTTTAGATAGAATATTCTGCTTCCTGTGCCTGCTATGATATTACATGTATTTATATTTGATGCTCATTTAGTTACTTTTGTTGTATGTGATAAGATACGATTATAATTGTGATGCTTGGAAATTCATAGTCATTTATCTGAATGTCCATTTGGTTGTCTTGCTACTGTTTCTCTTCCCTTCTTCAAGGATTGAGAATGCATTTTTTTTAAGATTTTAGTTAAAATGCTACATATTTCCTTCCTGCTTTGATTTTGCAGCTATTATATTAGTTGGTTCTATATTTTTATACATTTAAGGGAAAAAAAAACTGTCGTGGAATGTGAAGCTGGGAAGAACTGTTTTTGCAGCATGTTGATTTGGTTGCCTTGCTTTCCTTTCTAAGGGATCAGTTTAATTATTTGCAACTTGCTGCTTACGTTAATTATAATCCCATTTCCATGCATGCACCTTCCTTCCCAAAGAAAGTTTGGCTGCTTGCAGTGTTTAAGAAGGTGGTTAAAAAAAAAAAATGTTCTTTTCAAAAAAAAAAAAATGTTTGTTCAATTCTTTTTTCTTAATTTCTGTACAATGTACAAACTGTAAATCTATACTAAAATTATTAACCCCTTTTCTCACAAACCAATGCTTAAGGATTGCATGTTGCAATTTGCAAGTTTGTTTTTCTTCCTCCCTGATGTCGGATTAAAGTCCTACGATAAAACTATAGCACTCAAGAAATATCGGGTGGAAGAGGATGGGTATAACAGATCTGAAACTCTGCCTTTAGAGGTATAGTTTCCGTTTCTAAAAGAACTTATTGACATTAACCGTGATTCAATATAATCATGCCCCCTTAAATCCTAGCTGGAAGGTAATGCGGCCAAAACATACTGTAGGTTACATAATCAAAATTTTGCTATAGTAATATAGCCACAATCTTGTGAACAATACCCATCTCAATAGCCAAAACACTAGTCCGTATGATCATAATTGAAACACCCATCAATCTTGACATACTTGGAAGTGCAGGTACATTTGTTTTCCCAGCCAGAATCATAGGATTGGGCTGTAACCATTTTGCAAGTTTGACTACACAGCAGTTCAGTTACCTGTCTTTAGTGCCTGGCAAACCATGTTAACAAATTATAATATATGCCTGAATATTTTTTTATTTTTTTTGCGCACTATAGTTTGTTGGTATAAATTATTTTCCTGGGTGGGAAAGTTGCTTTTGGAAGTTCTATTCTTAGGGTGTGTTTGGTACAAGAGAAATTTTTTGGTATCCGGAAATCACGATTAATGGGAATACAATAGAAATTGAGTTTACTTGGAATCTTACGAAAAATGTGTTTGGTTTGCCAAAATATTACCGGAAATATTGGATAAAGATTACTGATTCCATGTTTGGTTTAGAACGAAATATGACTTGGAATATGAGGTTATTTTACAAAAATAACTTCAAACTATTTTTACTTTTGTAATTGATAGATTGGGTCTAGGTTTTTATGTGTGTTGGGGTATTTTTGTCTCAAAAATTATTGTTGTGCTCTCCCTTTACTTGGTATTCTGAATTACCATATTATTTTTGGTAATCTAAATAGTGATTTTTCTTTATAAATCAAATTACCGGTAATCCTTGGATATCCGGGAACTGATTTTTGTTCCTTCTACCAAACATGGTAATTGGGTTTACCAAAGAAGGTTTACCAGTAATCCTTTTGAAATACTTGTACCAAACACACCCTTAGTGACATGATGTGGTGTGCCTTCTGGTGTAAGCTGACCTTTTTTGAATGTATTAATACCCATAAAATGACATTGGTTAGATAGTGTAAGAACTTGTTTTCGCTGAAAGAATATACACTAGTAGATAAGATAATATTTCATATTGATCATGATTCATTACCTAACTTTTTGTGTTTAATGTCTACTGCAACATGCAGCAACATTTCCTTTGGATCTTGTAAGGCGCAGGATGCAGTTAGAGGGTGTCGGTGGTCGAGCTCGTGTCTATAACACTGGCTTGTTTGGGACATTTGGGCGTATAATTCAGAATGAAGGGGTACGTGGTTTGTATAGAGGCATTCTGCCCGAGTACTACAAGGTTGTTCCTAGTGTGGGCATTGTCTTCATGACATACGAGATGCTGAAGATTCTTCTATCTCCAAGTTAGTAGCATACTCAATTGCCAAACGTCCATCATTATAATGCTCATAGTTTAATTTTTTTGAAGAATACAATTTCAGGAGAATTTGATCTCTTAGAAAATGAGATGCTAGAACATATCTTCTACGAAGTTTTGTTGAGGTGAATTTTGCTGTCATTGCCAACACATTTATCTGTGTATAGGTAGTTGTAACTTGAGTGACACCAATTGTACCCACGTCGAAATTTAGGTTGAAACTATTTTATAGTTGATGATTATATCAACAAAGCAGTTTTGTTGTGATGGCGCAATTTCTTTTTTGGTACTATTTAGAGAACATGTGGAAGACTTGTTACAAATTTAACAAAATACTTGCTGTGTTAGTAGTATAAGTTGATTTTCTTGTGACACAAATTACAATAGTCATTTTGATATCATATTTTATTATTTGAGGAATTTAAAGGGCAAATCCGAATGCTCGAAGATCCAAACTTGCGAAAATGAGAATCGATTGTACATACCATTGCCGTTACATCTTTGTAAGGAGATTGTTTTTCATATTTGAACCTGTGATCTTTCGATCACATGGAGTAGCAACCTTACCGATGCTCTACCATTTGAGGAATTTTGTCATAAAAAAGCAGTTGAATGATTGGGGATGTTTGGACCTAAAATGACCTCTAGGTATGTTTTGATGAAGGAGCATGGCATGTAATAAAGTAAGGCTCGAGCCTAGGTACTTTTGGCTCTGCCTCGACATAAATAAGAAAATAAGCTTGAGCTCATCTCTTGTTAAAAAGCTCAATAAGTCAATATTGAACACGACACTGGGGCCGAAGATCAATAGAGGCTTATCTCTTTATAATTGCTTCCTCCCTCAATGGACAGTGGTGGAGAATAGAGATCAATGTTTTAAAAATTGAGCTAGGTCATGGTTCAATTGGCTCAAGCTTAACGAGTTAAATTTGTAGTTCTGAAAGCATGTAGAATTAATGTACACATAAATGAGCATAGAACTTTTGGAAAAGGTTTATTGGGTGGGATTTCCTCTAAACCTTGTAACCATATAACACAGCCCACTACAATATATCATAGATATTTTATTATTTAATGATATAGCTGAGTGGACAAATGATGTATCGTTGGAGTGGACCCATGCTAAATTTTGCACACCTAATATCCTCAAAAGAGAACCGTATCCACATCATTAATCTTTTGGAAAGCAACCCTGAATTGGAAGAGCAATCATACGATTATTGGAAAGAGGAAATTAGCATAGTTCACAAGGACTCTAACCATGTACGCAATAACCATCACACCACCTCAACACTTCAATCGTGTTATTTTTCTCCTACGAACCTTAGTAAAATTTTGTATTGTATATGGTTACCAAACCAAAGCCTGTCTTTTCAAGCTTTTACGAACTAGAATAGTAAATGTTTAAGATTGTGCTTCATTTTGGGGGTTCATGGCTAGCATTTGAAGAATGTAGAATTCTTGGGGGCCCAACTCTACAACCTGATCCGAACACAATAGTAAAAAATGGTTTAGTAAATTGATACGCATAAACAACTCAAACGAGGTTAACAGAACCCCATAACAACTAGAATCACATCAGCAAAACATAAACAACTTCAAAACCAACAAAACAATTATTAACATAACAATCAATGCCAAGTTACATAAATATATTTACGTTGTCGCAAGACACAATATACACAATCTGATATCAATTTTTCACTTTGATAAAGTAAAAAAAATGAAAGCACAATCTTGAACAAAACAAAACTCTGTTCAAGGAGCAAAACTAAAATCTAACCATAAATTCCAACAGTGCTTTGGAACCTTTAATCTGTTAAGGACCTTGGGATACACCATCCTAAAAGCTAGCTCAAAGTGTGGGAGTACCCAAGACCTTATAAACTTCACATTAGTTGCTCATACAACCAATGTGAGACTATATATCTCAACACGCTCCCTCACACGAGAGCCCAAAAGGGCAAGAAGCGTGGAATTGCACAGGTCCAATTTTTGGTTTACTTTTTTGTACTTTTTTTTTTTTATTTTTAATTCCACTTTAAAGTGGGAGGCGGTGAGGGCTCAAGCTCTGATACCATGTAAAGAACTTTGGGATACAAACACACATTACCAACATCAATCAAATGAATTCATGTCATTATCACCTATAACCAACTCAGTAACCGAGATTATCCATTCTCATGGCACTCCAACAACCTTTCATACTTATCAAACACTTTGCTATTCCCACTGCAATTATCACAACAACATACCTCACATCCTCACAAGTATCACGAAGCTTTGTCTTCGGGAACCCTTCAAGAATCCTACTCAGTTCACCACGTTCAAACAAATGATTAAGCACATCAACCCCACCAACACCTAAAACCCTTCAATAATATCTGCGTGCACCATGGTTGCTAGTTTCCACTAACTAATTGTACGAGTTTGGTGGAAAGAGGCCATGTGATGAGGTTTTAAAGACAGCAACAATAATCTATGCAAATAACATTTTAACTCGTTGTTGATATATTCTGCATGAAAATAAAGAAGAAGAAGAAAACACTCGTTGAATATAATTAATAGTCAGTAGGGTATTTAACCCTCACAAAAACCTTCAAAGATGAAAATAAAGAAAGAAAAAAAAAAAACACGTTGAATACATTAATAGTCAATAGGATGCTTATAGCGCTCGACCACTTGGAGGATCAATTTAGTGTCTCCACAAATTAATACTAGACTTTTCAGCGTATTATGTTCTCACTCACTCACTTTTTGAAAAACTTTCCAAGAGGTCACTCATCCCATATTGCTCAAAATCAAACACGCTTAACTACGGAGTTCTTAATTTATGAGCTGCCGAATAGTAGATGCATATTAGTAGTATAGGTAGTACATATTAATTCATTTAAGCCATCATCAATTATACAATCCTATACTTGCACAACCTCTAGATCTCTCTCATTCGAGTGTTGATACAATTCATTCATGTACCCCTCCCGCTGGAAGCCTACTGCCATAGCCCTCATACCTTAGCGGGTTTGGACTCCAAGCACTTGGATTTTCGACTAGTAGCGCAGTCCAACCCAGTTACCAAAGGACTATCTACTCCTTGTCCTCGTCAACGCCCGAGATGTTACGTACTCTTGGGGTATTTAATCTTAGGGGTGTGCATAATGTAGTTCGGTTCGGTTTTCTTTGCTGAACTGAACTGGAAAAAATGATTCAATTTGGAGAAGTGAATTGGTTTATTTTTAGAACCAGTTCAGTTCAAAACTAGTTTATAATTAGTTCAGTTCGGAACTAGTTTTGAATTAGTTTGGGTATGCATGACAACCATTATGTTCCCTTGGCACTGTTTCTAAAAATAAATAATTTTTTTCTATTTATGTGCCTTGGAACAGTTTCTAAGGAAAAAAAATGTATTTGATAACATGTTCTATTTTTATTCCAAGAATGAAAATTGCATTTGGTAACACAACAAATTGTATAATAAAAAATAATTCCTATTAAAGTTCAATATCATATCAATATTCTTCACATAATTTCAGAAAACACATCATGCATATAAACCATCCCTCCATGAGGTATGGTGGAACCATCAATGGATAAAACCGAGGACACGAAAGCTTACATGTAGTGCCAAAATCCCTATCCAAAGGTTCGGTATACAGAGACACACCAACAGTCACACAATCCGACAATTGCAATCTGTTTTGTATGAAAACGTAATTAATATTCGTAAATCCCAATTTCCTATCCATTGAGCAATGTTTTCTTTTTCATTTAGTGACTTAAATCCCTTCTAAATCATAATTATCGCATATTAGTCCTCACTATATTGGTATTAATATTTTCCAGTAGCAACACTAACTCCCTAGGGTATCCTACCCAATTTGGGACTCTCCCACGCATAGGAACCAGTTTCTGGTCATTCTGAAAGGTGGTAATCGATTACCAAATAGGGGGTAATTGATTACTACACACGGTAACCGATTACCATGAACAAGGTAACCGATTACCATGAGCAGGGTAATCGATTACCATTGCACAAGATAATTGATTACCATGCGGACAGAACACGAAAACTGCAGAATTTTCTGCATAATCTGCGGGTTCAATGACTTCCAAGGGTCCAAGGTCCGATTTTTATCAAAACAGCAGTTCAACTTACATGCTTAAACATCATTATACCATATTTTACATGCATCATTAATATTTCCACACTTTACTTCACAAACTAATTCATTTTCAAGAAACTACAAAGGAAATGACTTGTAGTTACCTAGGGACCTTTGAAATCAAAAAAACGGGGAAGCTTTGAGGACTTAGGAGGTGCTCCAAGTCACTGACTTGGTGGTGCATGAAAATTCCACTGCAAGGTAGGTTCTTTCCTCATAAAGGTTGGTTCTTGAAGCTCCAATTGAGGTGAAACAAGTTTTCACTTCCACAACAATGGAGGTAGCCCTTTAATGCCCCAAAACAGAACCCCTAACCTCACAAGAACACTCTTCCCACTCCCCAAATACATGCTAACAAGTATGCACAATGATGGAAGAGGGTATTCAAGAAGAAATGTGAAGTTTTGGGGTGTAAGTGAAGAAAAACTCAATCTTTCCAATGGAGTAGAAGGTGGCAGCCAAGAGCTACGTAGGAATTGCAAATTTCTGACCTAGGTTAACGTGCCACTCTATTTATATCGGTGTGCTCACTAATCAATAGTATTAGTTCTAATAGCTCCGCTAATAATTTTTCTACCAAATTTAATATTCTGAACCTAGACATTTTCTAGGAATTATCATAGCTGCTATTAGTTCAGATATCTCCGCTCATTATCTTTGCTGTAAACTTGATATCCTTGACCTAGATATTTTTCTAGGAATATTTGTATTTTTCTTACAATTTTTTGGAATACTTTTCCGGTACACATTTATACTGTAAAACAGAACCACTATTCGCACTTTTCATCAGAAAAGTGATTTAAGCGTTATTCAACCTTCTCGATAAATATTCTAATCTTTTTATATTTATCCAAGGTCAATTACAGAATTATTTCCTAATTTCATAATTAAATTATTTAAATTTCTAATTTAACGATGCGGGTTCTTACAATTTACATCTTATAGCAAGGTGTTGAGTGATAAGGGAGATGACCTCGGGTGCCTACTTGGGAGTAGGAGGATGAGTTTCTCCGGTTGTATCATGAGTTTATGGACAAATAATTTCCTAATTTAGCGATCAAAAGTCTTAAAAGATAGGGAGAGTATAATAACTCACACCATTAAATTGAATACTTAGGAATTTTACATAATTAAGAGAGATTAATAAGATAAGAAATATA